GCTGTTGCTGCTGCTGCTGCTGATGGTGGTGATGCTAGCTGCTGCTGCTGATAACGCTGCTGCTGCTGTTGCTGATGGTGGTGATGCTGCTGCTCCTGCTACTGATGACGTTGCTGTTGCTGCTGCTGCTGCTGATGGTGGTGATGCTGATGTTCTTAGCATATATGCGCTGGAACCCGCGGCGCGATATTCGAGTTGTAGATAATAAAATCTACCTTGATCATATCCTCGAATTTGACAACCATTATGTGCTCCGGATTTTCCTTTGCCTCATTCCAGTAGCCGAGATTGTGCTCCCAGTATGGTCCGTACGGTACTGAAAGTGTTATATAATATGCTTAACGGAAACGAAGTTAATTTATTCCATTATTTTGCAATAGCTAAGTTATAAAATTATGAACATTTGAACTTACTAAGGCAAACTATACGAAAAAATATTTTGTTTTGAGTATTAATTGAAGAAGATCACAGTTTGCTCGCGCCTCATCTCTTATGGAGTTTCCTAATCTATAAAATAGAAGACTGTGAAATGGGGTTTGTTGCTGACGTACTAATTAATAATTCATTACTTATTACATGTGTTATTATTAATTGCTTACTTAGACCGAATAGAAACTTCTGAATGATGTTGTGCAGAGTGTAGTCTCTGAATGGATTATAGTTGAGCATGCGCAGAAAGTAGTAGTAGGAGACGCTCACGTCCTTTGGATTCCTCATTACGTAGATGATCTGTGAGCAAACGTAATAGACAGTAAACTGTGGTCGTTGCATCTTAGGGGGAGACAAGGGAATGACGCAAGAGACATGCAGACGTAAACGTAGGAGTATAGACAGATAACAGCAGGTAGAAGTCAAGGAGACAGTGAGCGGTGGCAGCAAACCTCTTTCCTTGTCGCCGTCTTTATTGACAGACAAGCGTGAAGGCGAGAAGCATATATTAACTCAACGAGGATAAGAGCTGGAAGTAAATATGTATGTGATAGAACAACATCAGGGCTGTAGCCTCTGGGGGGGGGGCGAGGGTAGTAGCTCCCTATATCTCGTCGAGAAACAAAATAAAAGTCTAATGAATGTAAATGACCATAAAATTAATGTAAATGACCATAAAATAAGTGTAAATAACCATAAAAAAAGTGTAAATAATCATGTAGTCATCATCCGTGAAACCTTCGCCGCAGCCGCACTGCTCGCTTATTTGGAGCTGCGCCCCTCTCCCTAAGTTTACTCATGACTCAGTCCGCGAAATAGACGATCTGGTGTGAACGAATGAGAAACACTTATAAACTGGTCTAGCTAGAACTACTAGCGCCAATATAAGATTAATCGGCAGTTTATATATTGATACATTAGAGTACGAAGGGGCGCGTGGATATCTCGCTGTCATAGAATGGCCGACTACACGAAAGACCGGTAAAAATCGGATTACTTTGCACTTTATTTTATCTTTGAAGTCTTATATATTATCGTCTCACTTATTATATATATATATATATATAAAGAGAGAGAGAGAGAGTCTCACTTATTATCTCGCGCTCATTGCTTGGAAAATCTATTCATTCATAGACAAAAGAAAATCCAATTACTTTGCATTTTTTATCTTTGAAGTCTTATATATTATCGCCTCACTTGGCGGTATGCAATGTCGTAAGGTAGATGTGCTTGATAAATGCTCTCTGGCTCCTTGTCGCCACTCATACTGGATCGACATGCCGATGAACTCCCAGGAAACTTGCCAGCGCATACACGGAATCGCTTTCTTACCAAGATCTTTTCTTTGCGACTTTTCCTCGTCCAATGCTCATTAGCTATGCAAATAAACGAGCTCCTGGTGTCCACGTCGTACTGATGGAAACTAAATTAAACTTAATTTAGGCATGCCGGGCTATCGAAATACTCTGCACGCACGTTGAGATTTTTACAGAATATACGCAATAGGCAACAATAGATAACCTTTAAGAAAAATTTTTTGCTAATTAAGGTTCCTAGAGATGAATACACTATGGTATATCTTAGTATATTATGTATATAATAGCTATATATATGTGATACTCATGTATAGCAATGTATAAACAATATACCCTAAAAATAATTTATACCATTGCTATACGAATCTATCGTGCTATAATAGGCCAGGCATAGTGGTAGTCTACAGCACATTGCTACTTCTTCTAGATTTGCCGGCTTGTATGAAAGGGCAAGTCTATTCGAAACTACAAATAGAGCCGCACCGTACCTGTATCTAACTCAGCAAACGGCCGGCCGCGACTGCTAGTCAGTAGTAGGTGCTGACTCAGGCTTCGGTCGTTCACTAAGATAGTACGATAGGATACCATTATCCGTCAACCCTGTATATATATATTATAGTATATGATAATGTATGTATATTATGTGCATAATATATTATATAGTACATGGCTACATGATATATATAGAAATCGTATATCAAGATGAATAATAATAAATTCTTCTAGAATCTAGAATTGCATAGAAGATTCTATTATTATCTAATCTGTAATATATATATAGTGAACTATAGGGTATATATAATATATCATAATAAAGAGAGAGAGAGAGAGAGAGAGCAGAGAGAGAGAGAGAGAGACAAGAGAGAGAGAGAGGAGAGAGAGATAGCATCTATCCTAGAGTAACGGATGGTATCGTATCCTGCAGTCGGAGTGGTGTCAAAGCGACTATAGTCGGGAAGTCCTATAAGTCATAAGGTGACATATATAGTATATTATATATAATTGAATGATGTCATTATTAACCAGCCTGGATTATGAGCTCACTGGCGAAACAGTTATAATTTGTTGAGGGGTGGAATTACTGGATAGCCAAATGTGCCATGACCGATGTTCGTGAATCGCCGGCAGCAGAG